CTCTGTTGATCTTGGCTCCTTCAGTCATTCCACAGAGGATTTCCCCCCCTCTAATGCAATAAGTCTGGACCTCTTTCCCTGTTACAGCGAGAATTACAATATCTGATGTAAGTGTATTATTTCTGTTTTTCCCCTATCCCTCATCTTCCCTTCCTTTTTTTCCACCCCTGAACATGATTTTTCACCTAAATCCTGTCATATGTACTGATAATGTCCACATCATCACACTTTTAAAGATGATAATTTGCATTTGGTGGTTGGAGTTGGATGTGGAGCACACCACAAACAGCTGATCGAGTCCTACACAGAGCAGATTTTTAATAAAAAATTAACTTGTTATGTTTAGGGAGTAAAAACTTGTATGTAAGGCTTAAGCAATAAGCCTTACATACAAGTAGGTTTTTGTTCCAAAGCTTTTTTGGCAGCTTGATGTCACGATTTCAAGCTTGGTTTCAAAAATTTTACATGTGGTTGTTATCTATAAAATGTGATCTATAAAATATACTTGCAAAAAAACAGAGCTTATAAACGAGAAATTAATGAATTAAAACGATCTTGTTTTAAAGTCTTGGGGGTTTTTTTTTCTCAGTATGGGTAGATCATTTGGCTGTTAGCCTGCAGCTAAATCTGGTTTACCGTTACCTCTGCAGCTCACCTCTCCACAAACACCCCCCCCCCCTTTTCTCCCTCTTTTTACTCACTAAACTCTGATTCCTCTCTCACACACAGTTTTATCTGTGCGATCAGGCCCCATGAGAAAAGTCCGATTTTAATGTTTCCACTACAGCATCAACTCAACAAGCAACGACACAAACAGGACAGAAGGAAAATGGAGGTAATTGCAACTTCACATGTGGATACAAACAAAGAACTTCTAAATAGTCAAGACCTCCCACTCTCATAGGCTTCTGGTTTCACAGGGGGCACTTACTCCACTTACTATATTCCGCAATGGCCTTATAAAGCTCAGCCTATAATGGTACATTTCATCGGGTAAAGATTTTAACCCAATTAAACATTTAGGCAACCATTTCTTCTGCTAATTTGAGCCTGAGCCATAGTATTAGTTATAAGATAAGAGGAGTGTATCCTATTTTTATCTCTGTTGACTAAAGGTCAAAACTGTTGTTTTTTATTAACACATTATTCTTATATATTACAAACTAAAATGTGGGGTTGTAGAGGCTTTAATTGCTGTTGGTGACTAATGAACTTCACGGTTATTTATAAATGAAGAAAATTAATTTCCTACATTTTAAAAATTTGAATTGATTACAATTCAACTATTCAAAGGCTCAGAAGTTCATTTTTCCACCTCAAGTCATCACACAGGATCAGAACAAAGTGAAAAAGGAAAACCGTGCATCGCAAACTGTAGTCAAATGTAATCAAATGTGTCAGACAGCCGTCATGTCTTCAAAGTTTCATACATGGAAACATAGTGGCTGCAACTTTCTGATCTCTTTTTTGAAATAGACACCCTGTTGCCCTTTACTCAGACCACACCAGAAAATTGTTTCTTTATTTTTTTTTCCCCCAACACCATCATTTTCTTACTCAATAACAAATCCCCTACACACCTCATGCTCCTGCCTGTTATTGCCCTTTTGCCTCCAGCCATCACCTTGTACATCGCTGTGAAAGCTGTTTGGACTTCACAGAAGAAGCCTGAACAGCAGCTGCATTCGGGCCCTTCTGGTCAGTTCGCATCAAAGCAATGACAACATCCCTCCTGCCAGCAGCTCTGTCTCCTGCTGGACACATCTGTCAACAGTCATCTGTGATTTCTGATCATTTCCACCTTTATGGCTCGACTCCTCTGCTGTGATTCACCTAAAAACTGGCCAGGAATCAAGAAAAACTCTTAAATCTGCAAGGAGTGAATCCTTCAAACTCAGTAGATTTTAGGTACTGCAGCTTGCTTTATAAATATGAGCAAAGGAAATACAGAAACTGCAGAGGAATTTGAAAAAAGTAGCATATAGTGAGTGATCAGACATATTTTTGAATGCCTCTTCTTTACTGCTAAATACAGTTAGAAGCAAAAAATCTTTAGCCCCATTGTGTAGTAGGTTTGTTGGCATAAATTCAATGTCCAGCAGGTTTATCACCAAAGCCTACATTGCACACTGAAATAGCCGCCAAATGGCCTTTATTATGGAAGAAGTTTGTCTAGCTTTGTCTAGTAAATTTTGCATAAAACAGCCCCTCAAAGTGTGTAACTATAATTACACTTCTTTCTAACTACCTTAGTCAAGTCCCACCACAGCTTCTCCATATTAATGGTTCAGACAGCCACTATCTAGGACTTCTTCTGAAACCCGAAGCCAATATTCTGAGGTATGCTTGGGTCACTGTACTACTAGTGAAAGGTCCATCAATGATTCCTCACTGACAGCATTACATTTTCTTCCAGGATGTCTGATATTTTACTTACTACATGTTGCCTGTTGTACTTTGTAGGCTTTTGCATTACCTGAGGAATCAAAGAAGTCTCTGACATCATTGAGCCATGATCATGCTTTACTATAGGTCGGTTCATTCTTCCTTCTCCAGACACATTTCTGACCCATAGGCCAAAAGTTCTAGTTTTGTTTTGTACCCCCCAAAGATCTGTGTCATCATTTCAATCATCATCAGTAATGAGTCACAGCACTTCGATAAATCATATGGTCTTGGGAATAAATTCAGGAACAGGTTTCCTTTCAGCCAGTGAAACTGCTAGTCGGTAACTGAAACTGGCAGGGCTCTCTTAGGTTTGGCCCTGTTACATAGTGCCAGCAGGCAAATGACAGGAAATGAAGGAGAGATGGATGCAGCAAAGGTTCCCAACAGACTTCTACCCACAGACATTGTGGTTTATTGTTGTCTTAGCCAAAGGAAATTATTATGAAGTAGTAAAATTAAAGTAAAAAAGTGTTGTTAAATGTGTTTATCCTGCCAGGTAGTATTATAAGTTTCCTGCCAGCAAGCAGAATAAACACTAAGCGGCATCTTTTGGGACCAGTTTTGATTATTTATACTGGGATGAAGGCTTTTTGAGCAACCTCCAGGGTACCACAAAACCCCCTCTTTTACCCTGCAGGGAGAGCTAACTGGAGCCTCCTTTCAGGATGAGAATAAAGTATAATACTGATATCCTACTTTAAGGAAAAACAAACAAAAACCAAACAGCAGCATACACTTTATGCTCCTTTCCCAACAGACTCTCTATATGCCCCTTGTCTGCCACACAAAGTCGTTTATTTTTCCACTTGTTGATTGTCTGCTGCTTCTATGACCTGCATGGATTTGGTTTATCTGGTCCACATATCATGTCAGTGAGGATCACTGTTTAACCTGCCAGCCTGTTTTTCCTGTTTGATTACCTCAGTTGGCTC